CGGGGCCTTGGTGTTATCAGCACCGCACTCTCCCGAGTGAGCCACGGGCCGGCCCCAGGACAAACATTTTGAAGGACCCAGAAAGTGCACATATCACTTCATTGGTGGCCCAAACATAATGATATGACCACCTCTGTCTACAAAGGAGGACAGGAAATCTAGGCTGTACAGAGGCAGCAATGGGCTCGGCCAGTGCCCAGGGCATATTATTACTTCGAGGAAGAAGAGGAGAAAGGATACTGTGGGTGGTTGGCAGTCTCCACCATAGTGGAAAAGCTAGAATTTGAACCCATGTCTAACCCTAGATGTATTTGTTTTTCATCTTTAGTGGAGGTAAAATGTCAAATTGCCTTCTGATCATTCTCACTCAGTTCATATTTACAATAATTTCTCTGACTCTCGTGAATGATTCCTTTACTCATAGAGGAAGAAATACCCAGGAAGAAAAATCTTGTCATGGCATACTGTGTTTGGTATGGGTGAAAAAAACAAAAAACAAACAAAACCCACTACCATTCCCCACCACCACCACCCCAAATATACTGGAGTTCTAAAACTGCTCCATCAATTCCATTTTAAGCCTTCCTCTCCTTCCCCTCCCCACCACTTGATACTTGTTCTCTGTCTGTGTATAATTGGTCTTCTTGCTAACCACTTCAGTTTTCTCGTAGATTAACATCTGGCCTCTGCAGATGGAAAGCGTGCTGTTGAAAGAAACATCTCCTTGCTCCAGAGTGTACACATTAAAACAAGTTTAAACACAAGATGATTCTGCTTCTAAACATGATATAAAATTATTTCCTCAAAGGAGCATATAGATTGCATTGAAAACCACACCTCTGTGTGCTTTAGTTTCCTAAAGAAAGAGATAAATATGGACAAATGATGACTGCATAATTGACAGTAATACTAGGCTTAAATCTGTCTCCCATTGCTGAGAGCCTCTAGGGAATATTACTGGAGATATATGCCTAGTAGACAATTAGCAGCTCCAGTTTTACCCACTATCTCTGTAATTAGTTAAATCTGTCCTCTTAGGAGTTTTAGCTTTCTCTAGTTAGTGCTTTCTCTAGCTGGTCTTAGAGCATTTTCCTTATTTCATGGACATGTTAATGGTGGCACTTATCTTCTGTCTGTACACTTCTATCTCATTGTTCTGTGACTGATTATTCAGTGTTGGATTTTTTTTTTTTCTTGAAGGGTGGGTAATTTTGATTTCCATCTTTGTTCATTGTTCAATAATGCCCGAGGATATTTGCTTGAAAAAACACACCGAATGAACCCCAAATCAGTTGATTTTGCAGCATTTTAGTTAATTGTTGCATAAATTAGTTTTTAGCACGTTGTCACATTCTAATCTAAAGAAATGTTGAAGGCCGAGCCCGTGGAGCACTCAGGAGAGTGTGGCGCTTGGAGCACAGTAGTGCTCCGGCCGCAGGTTCAGATCCTATATAGGGATGACCGGTGCGCTCACAGCGCTCACTGGCTGAGCACGGTGCGGCCGGTCTCAAAAAAGGACCAAAAAAAAAAAAAATGTTGACTGCATTTATGGTACTGATGGACATATAAAGATGGAAAAAATTAGAGTTCTGTTCCTACAATGAGTATTATAGATTTTTATCTACGTAGTGAATTTGAATTCTTTCAGTTCAGCGGAAGGAAATCCAATTCAAACTTGCTTGAGAAAAAGTTGGATTTATAGGCTTATGTAACTGAAAGATACTGGAGTATGATAGTTTCCAGCCCATCCGAATCTGGGAACGTGTATAATATTTGGAGTTGGTTTCTTCTTTTGTGTTGACTTCATTTTTCGACATGTTCTTTCCATGTAGTGGTGAGATGCTTCCTAACTATTCTAGGCTTATATCTTATTCTCAAGAACAGGGGTCAGCAAACTTTTCCTGTAATGGGCCAGATAGTAAGTATTGTAGGCTTTGTGGGCCATATGGTCACTATTGGAGCTTTGCTGTTGTAGCTCAAAAGCAACCACGGACAATATGTAAATGAATGGGTGTGGCTGTGTTTCAGTAAAGCTTTATTTTTAAAAAAATGGCAGGGCGGATTTGGTTCATGGGACATCGTTTGTTGATCCCTGATTTATAAGTTTAGTAGAAAGATATCTTTTACATAATAATTCCAGAGAAGTCCCACATTTGAATTTTATTGAACTAAATACTTGGTCCAGAGGATGGAATAGATGAATTGACCAGACTTTGACATACCTGTCCACTGTACTAGAACTGTATATTGGGGCCGGCCCAGTGGCGCACTGCTACAGTGTGCCGCTTGGGAGCGCGGTGACGCTCCCGCCGAGGGTTCGGATCCCACATACAGACTGGTTCCCGCTCACTGGCTGAGCGAGGTGCGGGTGCAGCACTGAGGGTTGCGATCCGTTGCTGGACACGAACAAAAGACAAAAAGGAAAAAAAAAAAAAAGAACTGTATAAATGGCGGAGGAAGGTTGGTTTCCTCTGAGAGAAAAAGCACTGTTGTATTGGGGGGTTGACACTAGGTAGGAAGAAACAGCATATTTTCTCCTTACCCTGAGATCTGTATTCCATTAAATTTTATATTCAGAGAGCATGATCTTTGATTCTTGGCCAAGGGTGAAAACCACAAGTTTATGAATTGACCAGACTTTGACATACCTGTCCACTGTACTAGAACTGTATAAATGGCAGAGGAAGGTTGGTTTCCTCTGAGAGAAAAAGCACTGTTGTATTGGGGGGGTTGACACTAGGTAGGAAGAAACAGCATATTTTCTCCTTACCCTGAGATCTGTTTCCATTAAATTTTATATTCAGAGAGCATGATCTTTGATTCTTGGCCAAGGGTGAAAACCACAAGTTTACCACTAACATCATACTTAGGGTGAAAGGCTGTATGTATGCTTTCTCCTAAGGCTGAGAACAAGACAAGGGGCGTTCACTCTCACCACTCTTACTCAGCATAGTACTGGAGGCCCTAGCCAATGCAGTAGGGCAAGAAGGTAATATAAAAGGCATACAGAGTGGAAAGGAAGGTATAAAACTGCCTCTACTTGTAGATGACATGATTGTTTATGTAGAAAATCCCAAGGAATCCACAAAAAAACCTCCTGGAATTATTAGTTCAGCAAGGTCCCAGGATACAAGATAAGCACACACACAAAATCAATCATATTTCTGTATACTGGACATAAACATATGGTAACCAAAGTTAAAAACATAACACCATTTACAGTCACTCTCCCCCAGAATGAAATGCTTAGGTATAAATCTAATTTGAACATATAGAGGACCTACATGCTGAAAATTACAAAACGCTGATGAAAGAAAACAAAGAAGATCTAAACAGGTGGAGAGACATGCTATGTTCATGGATTGGAAGACTCAACATAGTAAAGATGTCAATTCTC